AGAGAGGTATGAAAGCTTTCTTGTGCTTGAGTATCAAGCAGATTAAGTATAGTATCAACCAAGTTTTTTATTATTTATTTAGATTTTATTTTATTTTATTTTTATTTATTTGTCAGAGAGAGAGAGAGCACGAGGGCACGAGCAGGGGGAGAGGCAGGCAGAGGCAGAGGGAGAAGCAGGCTCCTGGCCGAGGAAGGAGCCCAATGTGGGACTCGATCCCAGGACCCTGGGATCACGACCTGAGCCAAAGGCAGACGCTTAATCCACTGAGCCACCCAGGCGCCCCTCAACCAAGTTTTTTAAAATTGAGAATAAAATCTCCCATTTATTTCTGGGAGTCTCTGTTTCTTCTTTGCCTTGAGCCTATTTAGTCATTCACTCATTTATTTAAGGGCAACAACATATATTCCTGACATTCTGAATGATGGAAATATTTACTCTTTAAAAGAAGGAGCCACTCTGGGTGCAGACTGACGCTTCCCTTCAAATATGGGTCAGAGAATTTTCTTGAGGAAAGGGCCCCCTCCCACCTTCATCCAGTGCTTTTGACTTTGAATCACCTTAAAGGGAAGGGCAATAATTAGCATTCTTACTTAAAGCAGGTCTGGCTATTACTTTCTCAAGAGGGCGGGGGACATTTCCTCCCTTGCCTGTTTGGGTTTGGAAGGACAACCTAGAATGGCTATCATCTGCGCCTTGATGTAAGGAAGGGAGACTAAAAAAAGGCATTACAAACATCTTTTCCCTTTACCGCTCGCCTCCTTGGTCGGTCACAGACCCTGCGGGACTGACAGAACATTACACAACTCTTCTTCTTAAGCAGTGACGGGGTAGCAGTAGGCATTTTTTCATTTAGAGTCTATCAACTGAGAATTGATAAAGTCATCACAGAACAACAGTAGTTTGACCCTGACCTGACAAAAGAGATCGAAAAGGTCTCGTGTGGAGAGGAGCGAGGGGGCTGGGAACATCATTGGCTCAGAAAGAAGCTGCAAGTCGGTTAAGGGCTGACACCCAGGCACTCCGCCGAGTGTGCTTAATAACTGGAAAGTAAATAATGAAAGGGCAGTCAATAAACAATTGTGGTTTACTAAATTATTCATTTTAACAATACTTCCAGTGTTTGCCCAGAGAAGGGAGAACGTCTGTACCTTTTCCAATCCGGCTCGGCTGCTCTGAACCGTCTTGGATGCAGAGCTGTTCCCATTCCGGACAGAAGAGGGCGCTCGTGCTACACCTAGGAAAGCGCGAGGCCGCCCCCCCTCCCCGCGCCTACCTGCACTCGGGAAGAAGAGAAAGGAAGAGATAGGGAAATGTCGGGAAGAGGTACAGAGGAAGATAGAAAACGAGTGGATAGGCATGGAAATGAAAAAACCTATTTTTCACAGGTAGATCAAATCCAACCCTGTACTGGAGCAAGGCATAAGAAAATAACCAGAAAAGAGTTGTTCTTTATTCCATGGTTAAAATTATTTATTTGAAAACTATAGAATGACAGATTTGGAACAGTCAGGGCAAGGGCAAGAGGATATTTGATAAATCCAACAGATTTATTTCCATCTTGAAAGCCGAACTCTGATTTTCGGGAAATAGTCTCAGGAATCGAGTGGTTCTCATGGGCTTCACTGCCCGTGAACAGTCAAAAATGTTGCACAGCTGCTGAGGGGCCCTGGGCCATTTGGAACAAAACCCTACCACACACTTTAAAAGTATGCCCTGCATGGAAATGAATCCCTAATATCAGTGAAACTCTGTGTTCATTCTCTGTGCTCATGGCGCTGTGCTACAGCCCTATTTCGTTTATGAAGCAGTGTTCCATGAGGCAAGACTCCTCTTGTAGGTTGAGGAGGGCCACTGTACTCCCTGGGATATTTACTGTATACCTAAGGCGCTGGCCTATGATCTGTCCTCCACGGTAGTGCCGATGCTAAAGCGAATGGTATTTATTTATAATACCGCGCCAGGCAGTCCATGGGGGAGTGTCATCTTGTTTGTAATCAATCCCAGCGCCAGGATGCTGTTACAACCCCATCAGGCTCTGCATTAAGTGACAAATTGGCTTCGTCTTCTTATTCTGTCATTTTTCTTCAGTGGAGATCCATCATCTCTGCTACAAGGCCCTGGAGCTTAGTACCACACACAAATACACAAATGTATACCCCGTGACGGTGCTCAGGAAAAACCCCATTATCTCCCTGGTGCCCACGAACAAACCCCCCTTTTCTCCCACTGCCCCAGGGTGAACGCTAAGATGTGGAAAGGGCAGGCAAAGCGGAAGAGCATGCTGTGCTTGTGGTGAGGCAGACATTGATGCATCTAGTGAGGGCGAGTCATTATTGAACTAACATTGGTTTTCTTTGATTTCAGCTCGGAGCTTGGTGGGAGAGTGCGGGTCTCAACCCACAAGACCAAGTCAATGAGAATATTTACAAGGAGACTTTTTTTGTTTTAATTTTAGATGAAGTCTTCTCTCACCTTGTGGAAGACAGGCTTTTAAGGTGGTCCCCCCCCCCATCACCCATTCCCATCTCCTGGTGTTCGCACTCTTACACTCTCTTCCCTTGAGCGAGGGAAGGAGCTGTGACTTGCTTCTGACCAACAGAATATGGCAAAAGTAACAGGATGTATGAGATTATGTGTACATGATTACAGGATTCTGTTACATAGGATTATAGCTCCCATCTTACTGGAAACTCTTTCTCCCTTTATTTATTTATTTTGGGGGTGGGGAGAGAGAGAGAGCACAAGCAGGAGGGGCAGAGGGAGAGGGAGAGAGAATCTCAATCAGGCTCCACGCTGAGCATGGAGCCTGATGTGTGACCCTGAGATCATGACCCTGAGATCACAACTTGAGCCAAAACCAAGAGTCAGACGCTCAACCAACTGCGCCACCCAGGTGCCCTGCACTTGGCTCTTTTTTGAGAGTCTACTTTATGTTAAGTGATGGACATCTTTTAAAGTCGAGAGTCTTGATGCTCTAGGGACATGCAGTAGTCCATCATTTGCTGGAGAAAGAATACCAGTGATGAAAATCCATAGCAATAGAGGAGAGAAAGAAAAATGGTAGGTGGTTCAAGTCAGTTAAGATAATGTAAAAACAAGATGACTAAGTGTCAGCCCAGTCCCCGGGAGTGGAGCACAAAGGCTCTCTGAAAACTGTCACACCTTAAAGGCCAATTCTACAAAACAGGGGTAAAATACCACAAAGGCATTCCTGCCTTTGCTCAGAACACTCTTCTTTTCTGGGGCGTTCTCACCATATACCATACTACCCAGTTCTTTCAGGCCCAATCAAACGCTATAACCCTCATGAAATCTTCCACAGAAGTTCTTGATTTTAAGCCATAGAAACTCCCTCATATTCTCCTAAATAATAAATGTTATTGGTTCATGTCACTGAGTTGTTTATAGGTAAACGAGGCTTTGTGTGAGGTTGACCAAAGGTATCATCATCATCACAAAATCGTCAGGACACTAGCTATGGTTTTTTTTTTTTTTTTTTTTTTAATTTCAAAGTTCTGTTTCCTTCTGGCTCTCCTCATAGTAACAAAAAATGACTTTATTTCACACTTTTCAGAGGGAGAGAAAATACCTTTATCCTACAGTTCCAAGTAAAGCATTAATAATTGATCTGATGGACATGCTTAGTCGACAGTGCTCACCTTGGAGCCTGCCATTTTGACCAGGGGTTGGTGAGTGCTGACTGGCATGGACTATGCCTGAGGAAAACCAGGGTCCACCCAACCTTTATTAACTCTAGCCCATCCTTGTTTATCTACCTTTGAAATAAAAATTTAAGAAGACTGGTGAATGAATGAACAAATAATGTTTTTAGCAAATTAGTATTGTTACTTATTTTATCTAATTCCCTAATAAAGTTAGAATGTTTATTTCCAATTTTGATCCTTCCACATTTCATCTGTGGATGGCAGGCCTTTCCTAATTAGAGTATATGCCTATTGAAAGCAAGGACTACACGGAACTCTCAAGGATTTGCCCCACTGGATGCAGGTTATTGGATTGATGCCTTGTAGACCTTCCTCATGCATTTCTTTTTTTTTTTTTTTAAGATTTTATTTATTTATTTGACAGAGAGAGACACAGTGAGAGAGGGAACACAAGCAGGGGGAGTGGAAGAGGGAGAAGCAGGCTTCCCGCGGAGCAGGGAGCCCGATGTGGGGCTCGATCCCAGGACCCTGGGATCATGACCTGAGCTGAAGGCAGATGCTTAACGACTGAGCCACCCAGGCGCCCCTCCTCATGCATTTCTATCAGTTATTTCCACTATCGCTTTGAAATTTTCGTTGTGGAAATGGATCTGATGGAATTCAAACATCATCTTTGCTTTTTTATGTCATACTTATGAAAAGATATTGAGGGACAACCGAAATCTCATTTTTGCACTCTTTCTGAACAAACGACTCCATTAATAGTTCCTTTGAAAAATAACAAAAGCAGTATGGGTTGGTAGTTAAACTCCCAGGTTCTGGAGCCAGACAGACCTGGGTTCAAATTCTGGCCTATCTCTTCATGATTTTATTTCCTACAATAAGGTTTTATTTTCTCTAAACCTCAGTGATCTTATTTAAAAATGGGGAAAACAATAGAAATAGAAAGAAATGGACAAAGCATGAAAAGAGAGCTCACCAAAAGGAAATATAGATGTCCCTGAAATGTATGAAGAGATCTTGAACCTCACAAGAGAAAATTACAGCTACATGGAGATATGTTTTTAACCCACCAGATTGGATGAGCTCAAAGCTTTGACAATGCTGCTCTTGTCAAGGCCAACGGGAAAACGGGTGCTCTCATCTATTATTAGCACTGCTGGTGTATCTCCTATGGAGGACACATTGCCAGTACCTATCTAAATTGCAAACCCATATATCCTTTGATCCAGCAATCTACTTTTGGGAATTTATCATATAGATATACCGGCACACATATGAAATGGTGTATGTTCAAAATCATTCGTTGTAGTATTTTTTTTTTTTTTTTAGTGGCAAAAGATCGGAAACAATTCAGTTGTCTATTACTGTGGAACTGGCCAAATCAATTGTGATGTGTCAATACAACAGAATGCTAAACAATAATATGCTGCAGTATAAAGGAAGAGGGAAGACTCTATGTATTGGTATGGAAAGACTGACAAGTCCTTGCTTAAATGGAAAATAAAACAAGATGCAGAACAGGAGTGCATTACCTTTTGTGAAAAACAAGGAGGAAAAAATGTGTATTCATATGTGCTTGTATTTGCATGAAGGGACTCTGAAGAATATTCTCAGATTCTGATAAAGCGGTTACCGTTTTAGAGAGCTGAGCAGGGATGGTGTGGGAATAAAGATGTTTCACTCTGTAACTCTGAAGATGGTTTGATTTTTTGAAACCTGTAAATGTTTTACCTATTCAGAAAAATTGAAAAAAATTCTGAGCATTTCCAATGCTTTTTCCTCCCGCCTGCCTGGGGAGCAGTGGTTAGAACACTTCTGTAGACTCATTTATCATTTATATAGCACGTGTATTGCCTCTTGCCAGAGGCGGGAGGGACAGCTCATAATGGGAAAGAGCATGCCTGGATTTTGGGGTCAAACCTGGATTCCTGTTTCGGACCTATTGCTTACTAGCTGTGTGATCAAGGCAAATACTCTGTCTCTGAGCTCTGTTTCTTCACTTGGAAAATGAGGATGCATGTCAATTTCCAAGTGTTTGAAGAATAAATCAGGTGTTAGTATCATGCTTAGCGCAGTGGATGGCAGCTCCTAAGTACTCCCTAAGTGATGGCTAATATGAAATAAGCTCTGGGGAGGGGCGGGGTGGCTGGGTGATGGCCACTGGGGAGGGTGTGTGCTGGGGTGAGCGCTGTGAATTATGTAAGGCTGATGAATCACGGACCTGTACCCTTGAAACAAATAATACGTTATATGTTAATAAAAAGAAAAAATAATGAACGAACATGACATGATATGGATGGTGACACACTTGCTGTTGTTTCTTGAGGGATTGCAGGGAGACAAATATTTTCTTTCATTTTTAACTCATAATTAAAGAGAATAAGTCCTCACCTAGTGCTGAAACATGAGCACAGAAATTGCTGCTGCTTTTCCCCCTCAAGGCATGACCTACCCCTTTCCAGCATCAGCAGGGAGCACGGCAGGACAGCTCCCGTGAACTCAGAAGCTCCCAGCGGGCTGGCTCCCACAGGAGCAGGTTGGAGGCTCAGCAGGTGAGCCCGAGGTGCATGTAAGCATTCTATAGACGATTCTTTTCACACTGATCCTGGGACCTGGGGGGATATCATTAGTTTAAACAAATAATTATGAGCACCTAGCATGTGCCTGGCAACTGGTTATGAATCTGGAGAAATAAAAACAAATGAGATCTGGTTTTTGATCATAGGTAAAATCAATCCTTAGAACAGGTGTCCTTTGTTTCCTGTGAAGTTTGAAATATGCAGATTTTCCCCAGCTCCTTCCATCTTGGGTCTGTCTTCCTATCTTTTTAGTTTAGACATTTAGAGTTAGCTGAGATCACACTAATTCCTGGCTCACCTAAATGAAAAAAAAGTTTTTTAAAAAAATTTTTAAAAATTTTTAAAAAGATTTTATTTATTTATTTGACAGAGAGAGACACAGGGAGAGAGGGAACACAAGCAGGGGGAGTAGAAGAGGGAGAAGCAGGCTTCCTGCAGAACAGGGAGCCCGATGCAGGGCTCAATCCCAGGACCCTGGGATCATGACCTGAGCTGAAGGCAGACGCTTAACGACTGAGCCACCCAGGCGCCCCAAAGAAAACGTTTAAGACCATTAACCTGAAGGTCCAAATGCACAGATATTCAGACAGGGAAGAGGTTTATGTTACACGGGGATACATTTAGCTGGATCCACACAGAAGAGAAGTCACAGTACAGTAGCCACATCCTAGAGCAGGAAGGAGGCACACAGCCGATTTATTTGTGTCCACGCAGGGCAGGGAACAAGAGGTGTCGTCAGACTAGTGAGGTCAGTCTGTGACTAGGATTCGGAGCTCCTGACCTCTCCCCCTTACTCTGACACTTAATGACCTTTTGCAAACATCGAACTTGACAGGACTTCTGATTTTTCCCATTTGTCAGATTGATGCTATAATAATAACAATAGTGAGAGGATGGCGCAAGAATAATGAAGGATTTCCAAATTAGAGGACTTCATTTAACGCCAAAAATACTGCCGAGGTGCTTTGATGTTGTGATACCAAGGAATTGCTGAACTTCCTTAGTGCCAGAGATAACTGCTTCCTTTTCTGAGACAGCTAGTTCGCTCTTTATCCAACAGATTAAAACCGAAATAAAAGGGAATTCTGGATCTATTACATACTGCGTGATTCATACATAATGAAATTTTCCTTCTTCCTCCCTTCCTCCCTTCATTCCTTCCTTCTTTGCTCCCTTCCTTTCTTCCTTCTATCCTTCCTTTGCAGCAGGTAGTAGCTGTCTGTCCAGCACATAATAGACCCGGGCGGTGTCCTAGTCCGGTGTTCTCCAGTGCAGGGGCTGGGGGTTTGCCTCCCCCGCAGTCACGAACACGCAGGCGCGGGGGATGATGCTCAGAGTCCGTGGCCTCTGCAGTGCTCCCTCCGTGGCCACGTGGGTGGCTGAGTGACACTGAGGTGGGAGAGGAGCCAAGGATTTAAAAAGTGGTGGGTGTAAGAGAAGGTAGCACCCCACTTCCCTCCCTCCCTCTGCCTGCCCAGGGGCTGCCAACCTTTTGGCTGCCTTCTGAGAGCAGTGCACGCTTTCCCCACGCTCTGGGAAATGCAGGGGAGAGGCCCAGAGCTCTAGCCTCAGACGGATGGCCATGCGCAGCCAGGCACCGTGCTTGGAGGAACTGTTGGTTTCCAGTCATCTTTGAAAAGCATCCTTCCTCACCTCCACTGCTGCCTCACAGAGGGTAGAGTCTGCCCTGAGATCCCAGGTTCAGCGCTGGGTTGTTCGTGTCATTTCCTGCATCGTTTATGCGGTCCTCTCTGTGTACTCTGCCAGCTAGAACAAAACAGCGCTGCTATGGAAACTGCAAACACCAGGCAATCCTGGCCCCTGCACTTGGCAGCCCAGCCGGGAGAGAGATAATGGCTTTTGTTGTTATCTCTTGGATGCTGATGCTCAGTCGCTTGTACCCTCAGGCGCTAACTAGGGACACGCTGACACTCCACCGTTGGTGCTCTCTTGTAAACTTCCCCAGCCTCGTGATGCAGGCCAAGATGACCGTACAGCCGGGCCTGCTCATTATCCTGATGACAACTGGGGGCTTTGTACTTTCCGGAAAACTTCTGTGGTCTCTCCACTCTCAGGGGGCCCTGAGCTCTCACGACGGTCTGCTACCCTTGGACTCGCCGAGCCCAGCCTACTGGCAAATCTTACATCCGCTTCTCCCCCCACCCCCAGTACTAACAAATACATTGTCCTGGAGACGGCTGTGACTCAGATGCATTATGATGGGGCGGGAGCCGGGCGGTAATGCTCGTCCCAGCGGGAGCAGCGCACGATACTCGGGCAGGTGGCTGGACATTTTCCTTCCCAGAATGAATACAAATCTCAGCCCTCTAAACACACATTTCATCCCGCAAAGATTATTAAAACTTCTCTGTTGGCTGCAACATTTAAAAACAGGTCAATTTGCTATATCCAACATTAACCATAATAATGCTGGGAGAACCAGAGTCTCAGAGATTGAATAATTGGATGCGAGAGCCTTTCACCCCTGGGTTGCTGGGTTAAATCAAACACAGCCTGGCAGGGAGTAGGTGTGGACAAACACAGCTGTGTTTAGAATGTGCTGATGTCTTGGTCTACTTTTCCAATATTTGTGCTTTGAAAAGAGCTTTCTGCTTGAAATGCAGCCTTCTTGTGCTTGAAGCTCACGTGTGCAGTAGGAGAGTTATTCCATCTCTGGGTCTGAGATTCTCAGCGACTGGCTTTCTTACACTCTTACAGCATTCCCCGCCCCCCCTTCCCCACAGCAACACCCATTTTCTCTGGTTTCAGACTGCTCTGTTCTGCAAGAGATAATCGTGGAAAAACCTTCTGACCCATTTGCTTGCAAATGCTTTTCTTTGGTAAGAAATATTTGATAGTCTTAAAGCTCTTGCCATATCAAGAGGGTGATTTTCAAATTCTATTTGATCCTTGTAAAAGCTAGCTAGCCTTGTTCTCAGGAAAATTGTAGTACAGGGACACACACACAAAATAGTTCTAATTCCTGCCTGTTATTTCACACTAGTAGGTTGCTGCTCACAGGGATATTTGGATGAGAAAGGTGGGTCAGTGTGAGGCCATAGCCACTAATGGTCCTCCTCCTTCTTTCCAGAGAGAATGGAGCAAGGACAGTCTCTGCCTAAGAATTTAACAGAGACCTTGCCTATGGTAATTTTAAAGCTTGGGGCAGGCCTTTGTGTAATAAGAGAGCTGCAGTCAATGTGTGTGTGTGTGTGTGTGTGTGTGTGTGTGTGTCTGTCTGTCTGATATCTGTGTGTGTACTTATCAATGAGCTGGATTCTAGCTGACCATAGAAGCACAATTTGAATTTGAGGATTTGTGGATGGGAGAGGATTGGTGATAAAGGAAAGGTATTGCTTTGCATGATTATAGGATATTAACTTCACTGTGAGAGAGGCAGCCTTGCAAACTATAGGGCAGGAGTTCAAGAAATCCTACAGGTTTGAAAGACAAGATGCAAAATGGCTATGTGATACGGCGTAGGCAGATGTAGTGGGTGGATCAGTTTTGTTTGGCGTGCAAAGTGTTTGTTTTTAATTTGGAATGATTGCCAAATTAAGAGATTTGGAAGATTTTATATGGAAATCCAGATTTCTGTCTTCTTTTAAGCCACTGGAAGATCTGGCAACACCGGCCCATGGTCTGCATGCTAACAGTTGGGGAGACGGGTAGAAGCTGTTTCCTTTAGACAAGGTGTACCTTACGCAGTCTGCCAAGGTTTTGTACCCGGCCTGCTTCACTCATTGCCATGATCTGTGTGACCGCTCCAGACATTTGAGTCTGTGAGTCCTGGTCCAGGACTATCTTGCTGGACTCTTCTTGGGAGTTTGAAGTGCCAAAGTCATCACTAAGTGTTCTGCTGAAGCCTCACTTCTTTCTTTGGGGCATTATTTGACAGGGCTAGCTCAGATTTGGTAGAGGAAGGAGGTAGATTCTGGAGAGCCTGAGGGTAGGATGTCTTGCATGGTAAATGAAGAGTCTTAGTCTGAGGTGGGTTTGTCCGGGTCCCTAATGCTATGCTGTGCTAACACTTAGTGTTGTCTGTTGCAGAGCATTAAGGAAAGACATGTTTTTGAGAGGTGGGCAGACCTGAGGATAGGAGAGCAGTGTCGGGAAGTGGGGTGGGCCCCTTGTGGAGGGGACGGGGTTCATTTTCCGGGTCCATTTCCCCCAGGCTATGGGAAACATCGTTTAGCATAGAATTTTGTGTTCTCTTCCAATGCTGTAATCCCCTTTAATTCCCCCGATGTTTTAGGGAAATCCGCTACACACCCTGGAGTAGCCTGAGGCTGAGTGATGCAGAGAATAAAGAGACAGCACAATGAAAGGAGGGTGCTGCCTACACGCGCCCCTCTCTGCTGGCTCCCTTAGAGAAGCAGCAGCATCTATCTGAAGCCTGCCTCAGGAGTCCCAGACAGTGACCAGCCCCAAGGTGAGGGGTGACCTGCCCTGCAGCAGGGAATATTTCCCAGGAGGGATCTCAGGCAGGAGGTACCTGAAGCCTTGCTTTGTTAATGCCTACCAAAGAAAACTGACCTTTG